TAACTGACTCTTCTGTGATGTGATGACTATCTGATGATGTGATGTTAACAAACCAAATTAATCCGAGAGACCTCTGCCACTTTATTTCAGCCTAGCAAAAAGTTGTCTTCATCTCGATATCGATAATTGTCATGGCATCTGGCTACACTATCTAGGATAACAGTATTTTTTTTTTATTTAATATTTTACGGCTCTGGATAAAAGTCCTTTTTAGCCCAACATAAAACGCAAAAAATTACAATTTCTTCACAGTGTTGGAAATAAATTTATATAAAGTCTTGAATAGTGCAGGCCTTGATAAGATCTCTTCTAGAGACTTCGGTACTTCATTACTATGCTCTTGAATCTCGTGAATGAGTAATAATCTGTCTAGTCTGTATTCTCTTGAATGTCATTATTGCAAATATAAAAATGTTTTTATCATGACATAGACAGTTGTCATGGTTTGTGGCTACCCTAAAATGTCCTACCCTACCTGCTGCCCTAAAAAATCAGCCCCTCATCTGGGGCGTTATACGTGTAGAGCCAAGACTAGAGTAGCCAGCCAAGCTCCTCCCAAAAGACAGAAGTCTCCTCATCATCATCATCGTCGGAAGACGTCCACTGCTGGACATAGGCCTCCCCCAAATATCTCCACGAAAATCGGTCCTGCGCTGCTCGCATCCAATGCCTTCCAGCGATCTTGACCAGATCGTCGGTCCACCTTGCTGGAGGCCTTCCCACGCTGCGTCTTCCAGTCCGTGGTCGCCACTCGAGGACTTTACTGCCCCAACGGCCATCTGTCCTACGAGCTATGTGCTCCGCCCATTGCCACTTCAGAGTCGCAATTCTTCGGGCTATATCGGTCACTCTGGGTCTTCTGCGGATCTGCTCATTTCTGTTTCGATCACGCAGAGTAACTCCGAGCATAGCCCTCTCCATTGCCCTCTGAGTGACTCTGAGCTTGTTCATGGGGCCCATAGTTAGCGACCACGTCTCTGAAGGTTATTACTGCAAGTATAAAAATAGTCTTTCGGGTCTCGGTGTGAGTCAAAATATGGATTAATTGGGCTACATTGAGCGCAATTAGTAATTGTAGGCGACTGTAAATTGTCTAAATTGATTCCGATGGGTGACTGTACCGGTCATTGTCGCGTTAAAATCTGTTATAATACTAGTATCAGTCCGTGTCATGATTTACGTAACAATACAGTAAAAGATAAATAAAAAAAGAAAAAAAACGACTATGGATTTATCCATTCATAATTTAAGAGCCACACTTTTATCTATGGTGCGCTTGCCACTTGCGTTATTGCCAATATTACTATGTAATGTTATGTTATCTGTGACATTACATTATATATAATAGAAATAATCTTTATGCAAATATAATTAAAAATCATTTTTGAATAGTCACATCCCTTGTCTTATTCGGAATGTACTTTAAACCAAGAAGAACTAAGAATCTTGCTCGTTACTCTTTTAAAGAAATGTTACTAATATGTAATACATTTTTAATTTATCATATTTTGAAAAATAAAAATTATAGAATTGTTTCTATGAATATAATTGTTTATTCTTCCGAATATTTGATACTGAAAAAAAAAATAGTTGCACAGATTAATACATAAGTAGGATTTTGTTTCTAGTGAGTAGACCTAATCCGAATTTGATGCTAATATTTTTTTTCTTTAATTTTTCTCTTCGTTGTGAAAGGCAAAAGGTCTCAGTTCATAAAGCCAATTTCTATAATAATTTCTGACAGTTATTTGACAAAACATGTCACATGTGTGACCATGTTGTCATCGGCAGACTAACGGAAACCATATACAACTATATTTAGCGTATTCAGCCTTCATTAACTAACTGCACATGTATGCGAAAGCCGAAACAGTGGTCATTGACTGACAACTTCAAAAACCACACGACATAAGATACATACATATTTCTCAGCCAATTTGATCTGTATGCTCTTAAGTTTAGACATCAATTTCGTGTGTTAACGCGTGGAAATTTAATTTTCTTATGAATGGTCTTTGTAGCATGGTTTATTCATTCATTAATGGAGTCTAAACTGGGGCCCGCACGCTGCGAACATTTCGAGGTTGACTTTTGATGTTTGGTTTTTAAGGTGTTTCTAGGGCTATTAAAAAAACAATGGTATAATGCTTTTAAAGTGAAAAGTGTGTTAATTACACTATTTCGGTTTCGTACGTTTATATGATGCTTGTGAAATGTGTGCATCAAGCTGGTCTATGTAATTCAAGATATTGAACCTACTTTTACGAATATAAAATTACCTAACGATCCAACAGTGTTTCTTTTACTTTTAAATGGTAAATAAATTAAAAAATTCTAAGTCAAATATTTAGTTAAAATTAAGTTTTATTTTGTAATTATGCCCAGACACTTACAGTCAATATAAAGTAATTAAATTCAAATAATTAATTATTTACGATTCTTAAAACAAAATAATTATTTAGCATAATAAGGTAAATAAGATATTATGCACTAGGTTAATAACATTAATATTGGGTTTTCCATGATAGATATTTCTAGTTTATATTTACATTTAAACTGCATAAACTTATGGAAAGTAATGACTGACTGGTACTATTGGCGAAGATACATATATATATATATATAGCAAAATGTAAAAAATACACCGTTAATCTTCCTAAAATAAATAAATAAATATATTGTTACACTCTCATATTGTGTCTTTAACACGTTGAAATCTTATTTCTCACATATGGACCGGCATTTTTTTTATTGTTAATTACATATATTATTGTTTTATTAAATATGTTTTTAATGTACAATAATTTTAGGTAGACCTTATTTAAACCCTAGATTTATTTCAATTAAAGTGCCCACGGGTGATCCGGTCTTAATGTGTAAATTTACTTTCGTTGCGGAGTGACCCACCGGTGGGCATGTGGTCCACAACGTGTTAATTACCACCATCGTTGGCTGCACTGACCCCAGCGTCCTACACACGATCCCACACAATTATTATAGACTATATGATAGGCACGAAGTATGCCTTATGTTTTTATAACTTTATTTATTGGGAAGGCAAAGACCAAATCATGGAAGTTTGAGGACAAAACCTTCTTTTATATTTTATCGAGTTTTTTCCTTATGCAATGATTCATGCGCATTTGTATGAAGTAGGTATCTACATCATACAAATTATGTTACAGATGCATAACTCGCAGTGTAGATTGTTTAATTCAAATCTAAATAATAATACATAACTAAATAATATAGTATAATAATGTTATTTAACAGAACTTATTGGTTCTATTAAGCACAACATCCTTATTTATGGCGGTATATTACAGACTTCTGAATCTACCGCTAATTTAATATAATAATAATAATATACGATTGTTAACTATCTATAATCGTGGTGAACTGTTAACATTGTTTATTATCGGTGTTTCTATCACCGGAGAGTTAGTCAGAAATGAAATTTTGATGTCGTAGTTTTGTACTTCACAACCGTAGCATAAATGAAGTATTTTAATGTTCCCTGGCCATAATGATAAAAAAAAATTCGTCCCGTCTAATGGTAAACGGTTACCTAGCCTATATGATCGCCTGTTTAAAACTAGTGAAATAATAACAACTACACTTGGACGGAAGTCCAGTATAGGTGTTTTTATAGGACAATTTTATGAATGTATTCCAGAAATCTAAATTGGCTGACGAATACTCAACAAGTACGCGAGATGAGGAAGCAATAAGCTGGTTTTCTGACCTAAATATGACAGCCGTAGAGCAGGTGTTTTAGTGAAAGCCGCGAAACAACAAACGTTGTGTAGGACGACCTGCATCTAGGTTAGAGTTTCCAACCGTCCTGTTTTCCCAGGACATGTCCTAGTTGGACGTGTCCTGGGCAGTCCTGAATATTTAATTGGCAGCGTCCTGGGTTTTTAAAATATGCACGCCTCTTAATTACTGATTTTCAACAGTATAATTTTATAAATCACTTTTTATTAAAATCCTGATTATATTAATTACTTGAATTTTACAACATATTGATATAACTATTGCAACACTATTACTGCGTTCTGTTTTTGAACTGGATAGTCCTGGATTTTTGAACTTTCAATCCTGGTTTTTAAATTTGGGATTGGCCACACTAATCTAGGTAGAGCTATATTGTATGTAGCGAAATAGACTAACTTCAATAGCTTATAAGAGCTAAAAATCATTGCGCTTTGTCAGTACATGACTATAGTTGATTTATAACTAATCTTTATAAAATATATGAACATATCAAGTCATAATTATATATGGTAAACATGTATAACATTTTCATTTGAAAACAATACGAGCTGAGTTTCGTGTCAGTTGTTCTCATCTCGAAATCATTCCGAACTGACGGTAGATTTAACATATCATAAGAGTCTGTAATAGACCTACATGAACAAAGATATTTTTAATTGATTTTGATTAATGTTGCTCTTTCCATTATAGCTATTTGTAGTCTATGTTTTGAATAATGTCGACTCCAGGAAATGCCTATAACTACCCTATCTGGTATAAAAGTCGTTAAGATATGGTAATAACAATATATACGCACTAAAACTTGGTCTCATGTCTTAGGGACAAACGGAAGCAAGAGCCATCAAAACATAAGTAAGCTTCCTAAGAACAGAGAATGTGTTGTTCAGACCTAATTAAGTAATTAAGCTAATGACACCGGTAATGGAGGCATTACAATGTCAAAATGCGAGATAGTCGCAGGAACAGATTCGAAAATGTTTTAGTCTAACCGCGACCCGCGAGTTTTTAACACGCGATCGACCTGTATAAATCGCATATATACTCCCGGCGCCCGATCTGCTTCATTTATCTAATGCACAGTGCATTTGCTTTTAGTTTTTGGTGTGGTTACGCCACGCACCCAGCTCCGCCACAGAAATAACGCAGAATATCGGTCACACAGGCTCCTCCATAACCAATGAACGCATCAAATTAATTGCTGGACGCGCACCACTATCGCAGTGGACGTGCCGCGCGCGGACGCTTCCGTTCGATTTTTAAAATCGAGGTAAAAGCGCGCGAACGGGATCTCACGGCGAACTCGGGAATTCCATTTGCGTAGTTTATTTATTATCGGCCAGCAATAAACGGTTTTATATATTTTTTTTATTGTTCCTTTGTGTATGTAACAAAAGAAATAAATTTGTGTACGGCATACATTTTAAAAATACGTAGTGAAAATGTACCTTTGCTTATCACTGAGGTCAAAGACGTGCATTTCGATGTTTTCGTAACATCGCACTGTTTAAATAAGAAACAGTGGCGATAAGTAATCGCGGTCGAGTGCAAATGTCGTCGGTATCGCAGCGTAGCGCAAACCGAGCGGTGCCGTTCTAATACATTAGAGTTGTGCATTTAGTAATGAACGTTAAGCCTTGTCCCTTCGCGGAATTCTATGTGATGTTGAATCATACACCGGTTATCGCGTTTTGAGCAGCGACAATGTGCGAAGTCACAAGTTGGATTCCGAACGAGGTAGCCGCCACATTGTGCGCGGACCGCTCCGCGCAGCCGATTATCGCTTGGCTTACGGGCTTAAGGGCGTCCATAGAAGAGTACGACCCTTTGATAGCGGTAAGAGCGGAGTCACCAGAGTCTGAGGAGTCGTCAAGGTCGTCACCGGACAGCGCATTCGATGACATACTTTCGCAACTCGGAAAAGAAATCTACAAACTAGACGAGTACCAAAGAAACCTAGTGCCACAGGAAAAGGAGATTTCCCTGAGTATTCTGAACTTATTTGACGAATGCCTGGAAGGTATGACGGAGACGAAGCACGCCGGCAAAAGTGATTTGGAAGTGATCGACGAAACTGTGGAAATTCCTGTGAACGGTGTGGATGAGTGTAGCGACGGTGAATCTACGATATCGGATGTCTCGTTTGTGACGAGTACGCCTGCTAGGAGTGTGAGAGTGTCATGTAGTGATAAAAACACAATGTTTGTTAAAGGTGATGGCACGCCGGTGCCGTTGCCGCGGAACAAATTAAGAACACCCTCGTATACGTCATCTAATTACGATTACATGGACGTGAGAACAGAGAACACAATAACGGAGGCTGCGAGACAACTGGACTCGGATAGCGACAGCGAAAGCACTAATTGGAGTTACAGAGAATGTAGTACAGACACGGAGAACGAGACTAGAGATGAATACGCCATGATGTGGTCGCACTCGAGCGGTTATCACAACTCCGATGAGATCCTGAGACGGGTGGTCTCTCAGCACCACGCGACTGTCTCGAGGTTATCGTTCCACACCGCGAGTGACTTTGAACCGACGCGATATTCGGTGTACGCACTCCAAGAGGTGGGAGACAGGTGTGTTGACAAAGACATGCCAGTCGCCGCCATGACGCCGGACAGACCGACCGACGATGGTTACGAGCCGGTGCGCGATGCCCTCACCGACGAGAATATTTACGAGGAAATTGAGTTCGGCTTGAGTTACACGGACGAAGGGTGCTCCTGCGGGGGCAGTGTTGAAGTGGAGAGTTGCTCGATAAGTGCCAGTTCGGAGGGTGTCGGCCGCGAGAGTCCTTTATATGAAAATTTAAGGGACCACGACGCTTATGCTATACCTCCAGATGTTATTTTCTGGAAGAATCTTCTCTTCGACCCGTTTTACAATGATGACGAGGAAGACGAGGTAAGTGATATTATTTACAATATGTCTGTAATACTATAGTAATTCTATGTAAATATAAAGAGAAAACAACGTTTAAATATATGTATGTCATCGCAATTAACGTGTTACAAATGACTAACGGAATTAAGAATATACTGATGACATTTCTATAGAATTATTTGCTAATAATATGTTATTGTAAATACAGGAAATGTTAAATAACCAATATGATTTTTTAAACAAAGTAATGTAGAGCAAAAGAACTAATTCTATAATTCCTAATTCGCTCTCTATTTGTTTGAGTGCCTTTTTTATGTGTATGTGTGAATTCTTATCAATGACAAACCTACAGACAGACAATGCACTTTCTGTTATATATAATGAACATCATAATTCAGTTTTTGTGATATAGGTAAGTTATAATAACTTACATAATATATTGTTTATCGTGTGTGCTTTATTTATACATGAACAATAAAAAATGGAAATTAATTACACAATTTCCACGATATTAAACGTTAATAATAGAATTAGGTCAGATGCACGAGAATGTTTGTTTATATATGGATATTTTTAATAAAATGTTGGTGCTATGCATTCTTTCATTCAACTATAATATAAATATGGCTTCTAGCAATATGCATTTATGGTGTCGACTAAATTCTGCATCTATCTTTTTTTTTCTTTTATTTAAGTCATAATGCTACGTTTCCCAAGCCTCCCTCTAAATAGATTAAAAAAAATACGCCAAGACTGATCAATATCATTCCTTGGTTTCCCGCCAATTTTTTGCCACATTCAATAAACCAGATTTGAATTTAGAACACGAAAAGAAAATTTTGTTATTATAAAGTCAAGTCGAGTGATTACGAATTGCCAACTGTCAAATGAACGAGAGATCTAGTAAAAACTAAACAGATAAAAACTTTGATCTTTAATTAGACAGGATAAACTAGTTTCTAGTATTGGAAAGTTGTGTGCAACAGCGTAATGTGGTTGCACAAAATTTAATGTAACTAGTTTTTAGAATTTTATCAATATGTCTTACCATAATACTCAAAATAAAAACTTGATCGACTCTACTATGAAAACTTTAAAGTCTATATTTCTATAGTTATTTTTTCTTTATTTAATACATTTTATTACAAAACGTGCGATATTGTGTAACTTATATTTAATTAATAGGAATTTGGATTGATAAGAATATTGACAAATATTATCGAATTTAAAATTATGAATTTTATATTTTTTCTAAATATTCATCATAAAGAAAAACAAGCTATGTAGAATATTTGTGAAATATTAACCATATTAGTAAATTGTATACACGACCGCAGATTTTATAGAAGTATGAAGGTTTTAAAATATTTTAAACTATCAATTACCCACATTTTATCGTTACTTAACAAAAATCCAATAGCTGTAAATCAGCGATCTATATTCACGTCGAATTTCATTAAAATCTGTTCAGCGTTTTAGTCGTGATATAATATATAAATAAAATACACACAGACTCACTTTCGCATTTATAATATTTGTATTTTTTTTCCACATTACTTTTTTGCACATATTGTTCAGTTTTTTGTATATTTTAAGAAAGATGTTACAAATGAATGTGGATGGTTATAAGGGCAGAGGAAGGCCAAAAAAGAGATGGATGGACTGTATGAAAGATGATATGGTAAGAAAGGAAATAAATAACGCGATGAATAACAGGGATGAATGGAAGCGAAAAACATATTACGCCGACCACAAATAAATGGGATAAGGAAGAAGCAGATGATGATTGTTCAGTTTTTTGTATAGAATCACAGATTTTCAGCTAGTTTCCGGTCTTTGCAACTACCCCTATTTTTTTCGGACTACTCTAATGCTGTTGGCCGTAGATGGCATTTACAGCTTCACCGGACGATGACAATTTCTATATAATAGTACTATAGTAGATGACTAGTAGATATAATTAGATATGTTTTTTATTGGTAACCCATAAAAATGGAAAACAAGGTAAAACCGTGGTAAATTCCTAATGGTGTAGTGATTGTCATGATTTAATTATGCACTTTCATATCTATTATTCAGAATAGCCCAGTGATTGTTATTGGTAGAATTGATATTATCGGCGTCTCAAAGACGCGTCACTATTTGCTTTTCAAGGTTTTTCATTATTGTTTATGGTTTTAAAATATTCCTTTGCCTCAATATTTTTTTTTTTATTATTATCATCATTGCCTTGCCTGTATCCCATTATTTGTGGTCGGCACAGTATGTCATTCTCTTCCACTGCTCTCTATCGGTGGTCATATCTGAGCATACTCTCCTTTTATTCCTATCATCTTTCACACAATCCAGCCATCTTTTTTTAGGGCGTCCTCTCCCTTTCCATCTATCCACATTCATATTATACACTTTCCATAAGACATGATCCTCGTTCCTCCGCATAACATGCTCATACCAGCTCAATCTGTTACCTCGCAACTTTTCTATAACCGGCGCAACTTTCAAACTTCCTCGTATATACACATTCCTTATTCTGTCACTCCTGGTTACCCCACACATTTTCACACACAGATCTTTACGGCCCAACATCCATACATTTTTTTAAATAGTAATATTTGATTCAGATTATAATCCTATATTATTATTATTATACAGATTATAATAATTAAATAATTGCAAGTGCAACCAATTTTTTTTGTATGACACAGACTTACGTCATAAAGAAAAAATATTTTGTCTATGAATCTGTACAACATTTGTTTTGAGCACATCATATTTGCTAAATGTTTGTTGAAAGATCGTAAGCATTAAACAGATAATAATGTAAATTTCTGTCAAAATATATATAAAAAGTCTAAATCTTTCCCGCCAATGTTATCAACATAAGTACTAACAATATTGTTTGTTTACATTAATTTTGATAATTTTGCACGCCAGTACAATATTTGTGTGAAACTGCAAACCTTGGTATTTTTTTTTTAATTTTCCCGTAAGTTATATTGATTCAATTTTAGTTATATTTTTAGCCAACTTTTACTAAATATTGCTCTGTGATATGGCAAGCTTTTTTTTAAAGTGAATTAATATTGAAGGTTTTAACGGAATTCTCAAACGTAAGGTACGGTACGTACGTATGTGCAGCTCGCTTAAAAAAAAAATTATATGAAACTGTCCAAGTTCTTCTTTCTCGGTTGTCTAGCGGTTTAGCGTCTAGCGCTTTTCCGACGGTCTCGGGTTTGATTCCTCGCACGGTATAGTGGCATAAAGTATAATAATGGTAAATAAGCATACGACTCATTTGATGGTAAATGGTTACCGTAGTTTATCCGTTGCGTCTGAGACAGCAATTTTTCTAAATTTTCACATCTGTACCATCAACAACTATTTTTAATAGAGATGTTGGTACTTTAATTTATATATATGACAAAAAAACGTTTGTCGAATCAGCTGGTATAGATATATACTCATATATATATATATATTTATCAGGGGGAACCGTGTGACCTCTACACGGTTCCCCCTGATAAATTCTTGGTAAATTTGTTACGGTGCAGCTCAACCTGACATGGTACATTGCTAGCAATAAGATCATCAATCCACATTACTGACAATCCCCTTTCCCCCATAACACAGACATTATGCTGTCCTTACAAGGTAGGTACACTGAAGCTGAAAGAGAGTTGTCCACGCACTTTATAAAAATCAATCTCGGAATTATTAATAGGTGACAATTTTAATATACTTTTCTACCGTCTTGTGCAAGTGTACCTATTTATTTCTGTTTGAATGGCGAGATTGTAGTCATTACTACTGAGGCATTTAATGAAATTATTTGCGAAATATTGGTAGGTACAGTAGATAAGTTGGTACTTAAAAAGTTAACTTACAGGAATTTAGAATAAGAGTTCTTATGAATATATATATATATATATATATATATGTATATGTATATGATACATAATAAAAATATTAAAAATCATCACATAGCAATCATTACACTCAATTGTGGTTATAATTCTAGACTGGTTACGTCATTTTTATATAAAAAATATGCAAGTCTGTCCGTCTGTGTATGTATTTTATCAGATAACAGCCACACATGGCGACGAGATGGTGACTAATGGAATACTGAAAATTTACTTGAATAAATAATGATTCTTGAATTATTAGATATTTACTTATATTACTGTATTTATCGTTATCCTATAAAAATATTTACTCAGAATATTTTTATGCCAATTGGAATGGCAAACAAGCTGCCCCACCTGATGATAATAAGTAGATAAGTAAATCATCGATACATATAAATAAAATTGGAGTGTCTGTTTGTAATATCGAAATAATCGTTTTTTACTACATGCATACGAATATAAATACGGTACTTACACCAAAATAACATTTTTTTCAATTTTTGTCTATCTGTACGACTGTCTGTGTGTTCCGGCTAATCTCTGAAATGGCTAGACCAATTTTGATGGGATTTTTATTGGCAGATAGCTGATGTAATAAGGAGTAACTTAGGCTACGTAGAGTAACATAGAGTACTTCCATTTTAGAAAAATAATGTTAAATTCTACACGGCCGAACTCGCTGGTACAGCTAGTTAATAAAGATTATTGTAATTATTTAATTTAAAAAATAAAGAATGTCAATAAAACAACATAGTATGTTATGTATATATGTTCAATATACTTTATATATTAATATGCGTAGGCAATGTTTTTACCAAACCAAACTCTGCTATCGTATAGTGCTAAAATTAATGTGTCCATATTTATCAAACTGCGGCAGTTAAAAGGTCAATTGATAAAACAGAATTTTGATAAAATTTTTGCATGTAATACATTTATTATCAAAATTTTCCTCATTAAAGACCCAGTATAGTCCAGTAACATTTTTATATTAATCATGATGTCACCAGTTTTAGCTCAATATATAATATATATATATATAAACAAGTCCGTAAATACATGAATAATAATAATCACAAAGAAATTTTGATTTAAGTTAACCGGAAAAGGATG